TGCTTGAACAACCAGTCGTACCCGATGAACACGCGAGCCTTGCCTAGTCCTGTGACCAAGAACCGTTGGCGCTCAACGTGGGGTCCGACCGAAAGCATCAACTCAACGTAGTTAGTGATCTTTCCCCGAGAGTTCTCCGTTCCGTCTGCGTTGCGGGCGACGATGTGCACGTCAAGCTCGTGGAGCTCGAAGCCTTCTGCCTTGGCATAATCTCGATCGATGCATGTGGTAGTGCAACCGTTATCAAGAAGAGCCTTGACAGCGCGCGTCTTCCCGGTGTCCAACGCAGTCAGCGTAACGGGAACTAGCATCTCGTGGTGCCGCCTCTGGTTCTGGATTTCCTTCATCTCCTTGGCAAGCCGATCCTCAGGCTGTGCCAGCTTCTGCGCCGCCTGTGTCTTCTTCTGACTCAGCGTCACGCGTGTTTTCTTCTGTTTGGGCGCTTCCTCCCGATCCTGGGATTGAGCCCTCACGGCATCGCCGTCCTTTTTCGTCGCACTATTTTTCACACTGGTTTGGGTTCCAGGGGCCTTTTTGAATGCGCTCCAACGCTTATTTACTTCGTCCATTCTGTGATTCTTTAAATTACGTTTCCGATTCTGATTCTCCAAGATACGTATTTTTTGTTTGTTTTCTACACTAGCTACTAGGAAATCGTTTATACTCTTTCGTAGACTAGTATTTTCTGGAGTATAAATATCATCAGCCGGGTTGGTAACTACATTGCTAATATTAAGTTCGGGCAGTAAAGTAAAAACGTTGGTAGGCATAATGTTCGTCGTTGGAGCGACTTTGTCCGTGTCCGCAGGGCGCCCGGCTTTGGCCGCAAGCGGGGGCCCCTTTAAAAACCCTTCTCGCGAAGGACGGCTGCGAGAGCCTGCAGGTCCTCCTGCGAGTGGTCATCGGTCTTGAAGGACCGGATATTGAATTTAGACTTGGGAGGCTCCGGGCACTCCCGCTTCATGTGGCCCTCCTTGCCACAGTTGTAACATTTAAAAACGCGCGGTGTCTGCCGTGCGCGGTCCACATCCATCGGGGCGGTCTCCCCCGGCCCGATCTTCTTCGCGAGGTTGGGCGCCGGCCCGAACCCTGGTGATGTCTTGGCAGCCGGTGCTTGTGCGCGCGCCGGGGCCCAGAACATCCGGCTCTGTTGAGCCGCTCGGAGTTTCCCCCGCTCCATGACCCGGCTGATCGCCGTCAGCCTCTTCTTGAGTCCCGCGTAATCCTCCGGGACCTCAATTCCACCCGCATACAGCTGGGTGCGCACCGCCTCCTCGACGAGGCCTTCTAGTGTTTCCACTAGGAAGGTGTTGTGGGGGGTGTCCTTGTCGTTCGGGGCGTACCCCGCTTCCTCGGCGTTCAGCTCGAACGCCTGGATGAAGTCGGCCAGGGGAGTCTTTCCCTGCCGAGTTGTCGTAAGGCGCATGTGCGCCGTCTGCTTGACGTTCTTGTCCTGGAACGTCGCTTCTAGATCCGAGATCAGATCATCGAAGTGGTAGAGGCTGTCAAGCCCCTCGCGCAACATGCGCTTTCGCCAATTACGTGCCCAATTGGTAGCTGGACACGAGGCACCATCGGTTCGCCCCAATAACGATAGGGTGAACGCGATCTTCTTCTTTTCGGAGTCGAACTCCGAGTCGTACGCCCATAGGTAATTAAGAAGGGCGTCGAGGAAAGTCTCCCACTTGCTCTTGTCAGAGCCGTCGAAAGTGGGGGGGAGGCGGGCGAGGGTGATCCGAGAGGACCTAGTCTCTCTCAGGGCGGGGTCGAGGTCCATGGCGGGCATGTGAGAGGTGGTGCCCTGGTTCTGGTCTTCGTCGGCCATTGGTGATATGAGCGACGGGCGAGGTGGTTGGTAAGGTGGTTGGGCGAGAGCGGCGTAAAGTCGGTCGAACGGGGTGAAGGTAGGAAGTTCGGTGGAGCGGTATAAGGAGGTCGACGGGGATGAGGTTCCCGACGAAGAGGAGGTGGATGGGGCACGGAAGGTCACTGTGTTGGTACGAATCCGCACTCAGCGGTTGGTGGAATCGCAACGGTCTCTTGCGACAGAACTACCCCGGGTCTTCTACAACACCCCCGGCGATAGCGAGGCAGTCTTCCCCGAAGGTCCGGCTGGCACTCCTGCGACTGCTATGTGGCTTGGGACGGACTCAACGTTTCCCGTGGCCTAGCGTCTGTCTGTTCGGTAAACCGAAAACGACTGGTGCTGCACTTGTTTAGACTCGCTGTGGACGAGGTAGAGAATCGGCGGGTGGGGAGTAATGGAAATGGAACTTCAAATACGAGAGTCCAAGTAGAGGTACGAATCCAAGTAGTGGATAGAGGGATGTGGGGAAAGGGAAAGGAGGTCGGAGGGTAGGGGCGGTACGAAGGTATGAAGGGTAGTCTTTTATTATGTCACGCTCAAGGCTCAAGTACTAGTCTGAGAGGTCGCACGTTGCGTTCTCAGATGTAGCAGGTAAGAGTGAGGCTCGAAGAATGATGGAATAAAAGACTAAGGAATACATGCGACTAGCTACACTACTTATACTGTTCAACTGTGGCTATGTAACTAGTGCTAATAATATATACAATAGAGCGTCCATGTGCTACAAGCACCATAACCATGTGTTCTGAGTAATAAACATGCTAGAACCATGTGTTCTGAGTAAGAAACGTCCTGAAGCCATGTGTTCTGAGTAATGCCCATGCATACTCCACATGTCCGCAGCATGACACCTGTCAGCTGTCCGATCACCGATCCGTCGTGCTTCATCGGCATGTTCCTGTGGGAACCCGATCCCTGGCTGTCCGATCACTGATGACTCAAGCATAGCCTCGATGTTTAAATAGACCAGCGCTTATCCTGGCGCTTAGATAACGAGATAAGGCGTTGTCCGATTAGATAGCCTGCTTAATCGTGACATGCTGCCAGATTTTGCATTGTGGGCCATATCCGCCTACTGTCTTCAATACCCAGGTCTACTGAGGAGGAAAGGACCTAGAAAGGGAATACTTTTCAGCCAAGTACCCAACTTGAAATGTGCCTTTGTCTGCTGCAGCCACCTATCCGACTCAATTACAAGTTGTGGAGGCTAGCACCTCCTACGTTTCCTTGGAAGTTTGTGGGAGCAACATTTGTTTACCCTGCTCACTACACCTGCAATGGAAATGGAATCCACCAAGCATATGATTGCTGAGTCCTCTGTCCTTTTTTGAGTGGATATTGCTGGTAAATTATGTATTTGAAGGTCCCTTGGTGTGCCATGTGGATTTCAAAACTGAGATGTTTGGAAACTTCCCATCACATGGATATATCATTTTTTTAAAAAAATAAGTACGAGATTTGCCGGGCTATGCCACGGCCCACACCCCAAGTGAGGTGTTTATGTGTTGCTTATGAATTAATTAATTGAAGGTCCCTTCAATATACCAGGATCCTGGTTTGAGATTTTGGGAGTTTCCGGTCACACGGATATCTCATTTTAAAAAAATATAAGTACGAGTTTTGCCGGGCTGTGCCACGGCCCACACCCCAAGTATAAGCTAGCCGAACATCACGGCATACACACAGGTAGCCGCACATAGCCACACATCGCCGCATGTAGATACTAGACATATGTAACATAAAAGCTAGACGGGGGTCAGTCTACATAGGGTCGGAACGCAGTGCCTCCTGCCGCTTCCGCACAAGGTCACAAAATTCCATCACTTGCGTTTTTTTGACTTGCTTGCTGACGGACTCCTGTCTGCGAGGGACAAGTGACGTTGTTCCAGACCTACATCGGGCAAGGCGGTAAGTTACGTAACGTCAAAGTGCAACATGCCACCTGCCCCGAATATGCTTCCAAGGTTGCGACGTTGGAAACTCGTCAAGCTGTCGACGATGTCTGTAGAAACACCGGTGTGGATTCATGTTTCATGCAACCATCCAGTCGGGTGGAGGCCCCGACCCGAACGATTGCCAAGTTATCGCGGATGCCCTCCTCTACGACAGTCAGAATGTTGGTGAGTGTCGATTTAACTTGATGCTCCCTGACCAGAACTTAATGGGAGACTTTCAGGCCCCCTTTTCACGGTTGGAACGGTGCGAACGGTCATTTTCTCTCCGTTCTCTTGAATTGATTATTTATACCAGGGTACCAACAACACCGTTGTTATGCAATACGCCACCTGTCTCTCCTTCTACGTCAACCAAGATGCCGCACCTATCGAGTACTGTGACACCGATTGGGTATGTCTGTCAAAAAATTCAAGCAATAAATCCATTCATTCCTCCGATTAGGCCGCCTTAATCGAATACATCGCCCCGAATTGTCAGGCAACCCAAAACGCGCACGGTGGTCTGTGTGTCGCGACCAACCAGCAGTGGTTCGTCCAGTAAGTCTGATTTCATGCCGCCTATTACATCCCAGTAACTGTGTAATACTGACACCACCTGCAGAGTCGCGGCCACCAGCAAGACTACTTTGACTGTGAACGGGCCTATTACATATAAGCCAAGTGTTTTTGGAACGCTCGGAGACCCTCATTCCTTTGCATAACCCTTTTACCCTCTGTTGATCGAATATATTAATTCCGTCCGGCGTCTGGATCCGGGAAACGTTTCCAAATCTAAGTTTCCTGATCGATTTTCCCGATCGATTTTCCCAAGGCGCTTGAGTATAATCGACCCTCCCATTAGAAAATCTCTGTTGTAACCTTACGATTTTCTTCCTTCAACTTGAAGTGCAGTTTATCCGCTCGTGCAAGTTCATGGGTCGTTCCCGTGGTGCTGTGCAGGTTAAACATTCTTCACCCAAGTGAATGAAAACCAATCCGTTCGGAACGAGCGTCGCAGACGAAAAGGCGAGACGCACGATGAGATACTTCTCAAATCTTAACATCCCGTAACTGCTTCCGAATCTGAGGATGCTGGCGAAGTTCAAGCCAATGATACAATGCCTACGAGGAATGATGTACTTGAATCCTGGTATTCCTGCGGACCTTCGGATGAGGGTATTTAAAAAAAGGATCAAAAGTGGATGTGCGGCGAGTCGAACGCCGGACCTCCCGCATCTTCGGTATGCGAAGCGGGCGCAATAACCAACTATACTACACACCCCTACACGTCTACGTTTCCATGACTACGGGCTGAGAGATACAATTCGCCACGGACGGTATCCCGGCTTCACGACGGCTTCAACAGGATTCAACAGCATGTACGATCTAGCGGACGCTATCAATCACATCCTGGATTCTGGGAATCGACCACTCCTCTGAAATAAGATCTCAGTGGCCTCGATGTTTATCCTGCAAGGTATACCCGATTCTTCTCCTGCAACGCAAGCCGCGCACGGCGGTTGTCCGCTTCGGCCTTCCACATATCAATGTCTGGATCAAGTCGGTGTTCGTCGTGCAGAAGTGGATGTCCATCTTGCGGGAGCCTTCCGGAGGGAAGATATATTGACCGCGCGAAGTAGAGCTCGATATATTCACATGAGACATGGAGCCTCATGCAGCCGCGCCGGACGGCAAAAAAATCGGGATCCGTCTAATCCTAGCCATCCAAATCATCCATGGAAATCGCGAAGTCAACACACGAGGGCTGGGGTTTGTGGACCATCCGCGTTGTTCTTCTTGGTGGCCTTCGGCTGAAAGAGGGAGGAGGTCACCGTATATTCAATTTGAGTGAGATAAAGAATTTCCCTCAGCAGCCGCGGCGCGTGCCTGCCATAGGAGCATATATTAGCGTCTGTGGGTATATCATGGATCACGAACCTCCTGCTCTCCCCCTTCCTCCGCATCTTCCGTGGACGGGACCAATTTCGTAGATTGCAATGAACATCATAACTAGATGGCGAGAGAACTACTGCGAAACTCGTGGAACTTCCTGCTCCTCCCCCTCCTCCACATTTTCCGTACACAGGACCAGTTCTGTAGAGACCTTATTGCGCTGAGCTTTCTGTTAATGTCGGTGAGCAGTGAAACATGAGTTGAGAGGAGAACGTACCGTAGTAGCCACGGTGCCATCTGCGGTGCAGTAGTCTGTCGAGACGTTAGATCTTGTCGAGCGCTACCGTGAATATCATCAACCTGGTTGGCGAGTTTCGATGCGTCAGTTTATTGCATGAACGTGAGGCAAACGGTATGTACTCATCTTGTCATCGGAGGCGGCGGAGTCTGCCTGAAGCATCAATGAGTATGAACCATTTTCGAGCGCAAGTGCATTCGCGTACGGGAGTGCCGAGCTCCTTCGCTTTCCCCTGCTATAGAGTGTGAATACATTGTCATTTACGCAAGACTCGGAGCTAGGTTGTCGCGGTATCACCGGTCTCCAACAAACCAACATCGTCCTGGACAAACAATCCGTACAAACGGCGGAGAACAAGAAGCGTACATACGTTGTGGTCCTGGAACGGGAACGTGGTCAAATCGTCGTATCACGAGTAGCGAGACGTAGTGGAGAGGAAGGATTTCCCTGCTGCAGCCGTGGATCAGCAGCATACTCACTGACCGAAGCAAACACGTACCCTGGACCTTCGGTGACTTTCGTTGTCCCTGCCCGCGTCGTTTTCGTCTTGAATGCGTTTTTCGGACGTGAATCCAACGACATTACGTTGTGAACCACGGCCATAAGGAGAGGATTTCGCTCGGTCTGTTCCGCCGTGCGACACTGATTGTGGCGCCATGATGCGGATGGACAAGTACTTACTTCATAAAGGAGGCTGTGTTTTCGACCATTTTGCGTTCCAGGCGGCACATTGAATCACTTGCGGAGCGTCCCTTGGGACTGAAGGAGTCGGTGAGCACCAGAACACGAAAACAAAACACTAGGACATATGGAGGGAAATCGACGAGGGAGGTGGCGGAGAGGGCGTCTGTACTGACTGCTTTGAATGTGGCTTCGTATCTCGCTGATAGAAGACAGAGACAATAACATGATAGTTCAAGATTGGATTCCATGTGGCCTAGATTCGTTATGCCTCGCCTCCTAGAACTATTTCCGCGAGTTCAAAGGGAGGAATAGACTAGTTCAAGAAGAAGTTTGGAGAAAGTGGCGGTCAAACGCGATAGGTAAAGCAACGAGTCTATTTATAGATTAGTAGCCGGATGTTGCCGGATGTTCTCTTACGTTTCGTGGGCGTTCTCGGAATCATCCAGAATCTGACTTGACTGGCTTTCGACTCAATTTTGACTCTTTCGAAACTCCTTCAACAGTAACTTTTCTTTTTAAAATGAACTCGGAGCTACTCAGTCTCCAGATAGCGGCAGACAGGCCCTCGCAGGTCGCTCATAGCTCATAGGCTTCGGACTATGGGGGTCAGCTGGTACGCATCGAAGATCACCAAGCAGTGACAATGGGATCACCGACCCAGGTAACAGTCGCGGCTCAGACCTCGGACTTATCTCCCCATCGCACTCCCTGAACGATGTCCATCCCCAACCCCAAGCAGCTCGAAAATGCGCACCTCTTCCTCACCTATGTGAACGAGATCGACTTTGACGCCATCAGCGCGCTGCTCTCGCCCAATTTCGAGCACCGCTACTTCCCTGGCACCATCGTCCCGCCCGACGGGAAGGAATACCGCGGGAAAGAGGAGTACGTTGAAGTGCTTAAGCACAACTTCCTCAACGTGTTCGACAAGGTTACGGTGCGCTGCCTCCCTCCCCGTCTTTAATATTAATATGGACGTGATGTCGGTCCGACGGGATAGTACGGTCCCCCACTCGCTGCGGTTCACGGTGTGGATGCGGTTGTGTTCCACGTCAGTATCAAAACTCTGACGTTCATCCAATGGGGAAGTGGAACTGAATTTTGCGGCACCAGCTCAAGTCGGACGGGGCGTCCAAGTCGGGGCGGAAGTACGACAATGAGTACATGATAACGTTCCGCTTTGAGGGGGAGCTGATCGTTGCGCTGGACGAGTTTGTGGACTCGAAGTACTCCAAGGATTATTTCGCGGCCCTAAGGGCAGAGGCGGGGTGAGTGGTTGACTTGAACATGGTATTGATTAAATACAGGGAGCTCACACCAATGCAGATCGGCGGCGTAGGGAAGCTGGAAAGGAGATTTACTATGTACGGAGATGGGGCGATTTTTGTACACCCAATCATGGGTGTAAGTTAATGGATAGACACCTTCGGGACGTACAGAGATCCCCGGTATCCCATCGACAAATTCGCACCCCTGGAAGAAACTTCAGGTACAGATATTTCAAGCCACAGAACCGCTCATGCCCGCCACGCCGACAGATCTGATCACCATTCTAGTTGCCTACCTATCTCCGAGATCAGTCAACTTGAACGATCAAGCCACACCCGAACCACTTGTCCAGCGCCACCACATACTCGCCAACTCTCCGTGCGCGACGCACTCCTACGGCTCGGATCTCCACCACTTGGAGATTGATGAAATTATCATCAGTTTGAGCCTCCGATACAAACTGCTTTTGTCGATTGAGATGTTGACGGTCGATCGTGCCTTCTTGCCGTTGACCTATTTATTCTGCTATGAGCGAGACATCTGCGTGAAGGCTGAATCTGATGGCAAAGAGAAGGATTTATAAAGAGTCGGTAGCCCAGATTGAATCGATTCCGAGTTAGTCCAGTGGTAGATAATTAATTTAGTGTGAGCCGTGCGGTACTGATCGTTCCGGGGTGGGCGGGTGGCGGGAACGAGAACTGGCAGGCGTGAATAAAGATACAAGTAAATCTCGATATACGCGTCCAGATACCCGATAATTTCCCAGGATTCCGGAAGCCACACTGGCATTCAGCTCGAAACGGGTACCTACTACCGATGATGGCGCGTTTGATGCGCCGTCCCAATTAGGGTTGTGGCCGACGTTCTTCGGCCGATGGAACTGGGTGACTCACTTTTGCTTTCAACAACCACAACCTCCACTGATCGCATCATCCCAGCCCATGTCGGACATCTCACTCGTCCCCGCAACATCGACCGAACTAATAGCGTCGTGCATCGCGATCCGGAAAACCGTACGCTTTCTCGATGTATGGGTGGTTAAGTTTACAGTTGTAAAATAAATTGCAGGTTTTCGTCCAAGACCAGGGATACATCCACCTCGACGAGGATAACCGGCCGTGCGCACTCTGCATCCATCCATTCACACATTCATAGTAAAACATTCTCAGCGAAGACGCTGCCGCGCTGCACTTCCTCCTCGCCTCCTCCTCACAAGATCCCGACGCCAGCGCGCGCTTCATGGGAACTGTGCGCCTCGCTGCCCTCCCCCTTCCCGTTTCACCTACTTTAAACCCGGACCCGAACACAAAAACATACATCCTCTCGCGCTTCGCGCTCCTGCCGCCCTTCCGGCGCGGCGGGAACGGCGCCAAGTTCCTCGGCCTGCTCGAGCATTGGGTCCTTCAACACACTTCACAGGATGAATTGGGATCGAGAGTGGTGGCGGTGGAGCTGGAGGCGCAGGAGGGGAGCTATGGGTTCTATGAGCGGTGGGTTTTTTCTTCGTTGAAAAAGAGGACTGTCAAGTGATTTGGTTGGCGGCAGACTAGGGTATGTAAGGCAGAGCGGGGAGTATGTCAAGGACGGGAAGCCGCATGTAAGGATGCGGAAGGAGCTCGTGATGGAGTAAATAGAGGAGGTCAATAGAGAGTCCGAATGTTCGGAATGTTGAACCTACGTCTTGATGGACTACTTTTTCTTTACCGTAGGACCCGGCGAATGCAACGAGGAAGAAGATAAATTTTGAAACGAAATATAGGGCATCTAGCCGTGAGGAACTATCTCTCCAAAATGATGGAAACTACAACAGTCAACAAAATCGGATCTGCGTTGACACGGCAAACTGGCCTAGCTAACAACAAGAGGAGGGTGGCTGCCCCACATAATTCGCTGTCCTCCCTCTTCGCCGTTTAGGTATTTAGGCTCTGCAAGTGGGTAAATGACGGTGTCAACTGGATCTACATATGTACCTCTCGGCAAGAAATCAAACGAACTTGAAAGACTACATGCGCCAGTTGTTTTAAAAAAGGTAAATTGTAAGCCGGTTCCAGGAGACATCGTGGTTCATCATAGTGCATTTACGAATTCGGCATTCAGATTTCTCAAGTGCCTGCTATAAAAGTGCGTCAGATAAAAGA